TGAATTGAGGGATTAGATCGCTTGTATCGGTTGTCTCGAATGGTGTTTTGTTGTTACTATTGTTTTTTTTATTGTTATTCATATTGTTGTTATCGATAACATTGCGAAAATCATCAAACATCAAGATTTTTCGTGTTGGCGCGAAATCTCGGTCAGAAGGGTGTTGTCTGAAGCTTCGGGTTGGGATTCGAATGACTCTGAAAATCTGTAAAAACCGCTTCAGCAAGATATTTAAATAGTGCGAATAACCCCCATGATGAAGCTGTTTCGAATCCTCCGCTCAAAGTTGTTGCTGTGGCTGTAAAAAAAATAGGAAGAGATAGATAGATAGAGAGAGAGAGAGGTTAGAAATGTAAAATGATTGTAGAATTTTATCATTTATTAACGAAAAACTACAGTTTTGGCACATGGCGTAGATACTCTGCGAGATTCTGCGCCTTAAGACTACAATACCATGATGACGAAAGCGGAAATTAACCGCCAAAAACGTTATTTTTCGGAGATCCGATTGGCGGGAAATTTTGAATATATTCAGATTCTATATATTGAAATCGTCTTCTATACTTACAGATTTCTCTTTTTAGCAGTTTGGTAGTTATGAGAAGAGGAGAGAGAAGAAAATAAGAAATAAAGGAAATCCACATACCCTACCAAGATTATTCATGGTAGAAATCTTATGGAAAAGTTCAAAAGTCAAGAATATGAATCATAACTGGACTTCACCCTTTTCTCTGACGTTTCGGAGACCGCAAACGCCCTCTTTTGAAACAGCTATCCACTCCATTTTTCTTTTCCTTTTTTCAGTTTCTCTCCCTCTTTTGAACACCTCCATCTCTCCAGCTATATCCACATATCCTTTTTGCCCTCATGTACAATCCACCTCATTTTCTCCCTTTCTCCCTCATTTTCTTTTCATCCACTTTCGTTCTCCCTTCCCTCCGACTCCCTTCTTCGTCCTCCCTTTCCTCCAACTCCCTTCTTCGTCACCCTTTTATTCCGTTTCCCGTTTATCCCATCCTCTCTTTCCCTTCATCTTCGTCCTCCGATTCCTCCAATCACGACCCATTTTCGTCTTCCTTGCATGCCATTTCTCTTCTTCGTCCTCTTTCTCCTTCTCTCCCTCCTTCGTTCTCCCTTCCTGTTCCTCTTCCCCCCATTAGCTCATATCCTCTTCCCTCCCTTCGTTCTTTCTCTTCCCTCTCTCCCTTCCCCTTTCTATCTCCCTTCCCCTTTTCCCTTCTCCCTTCTCCCAACACTCCCATCCCTTCTCCTTAACCTTTCTCTTCTTCGTCTTAGCCTTCTCTCTCATCCTCCCCCCTTCCATTACACCCCAACCCCACCCCCCCCTCCCTCCCTCACTTCCTCCCTTCAAAGTCTGCCTTTCAGAAGCAAGGTGACTGTGCTTGCCTCGCGTGGTTTGCCTTAATCTGCGAAGGAGAAATGGCGAGAGATACAAGATAGAAAAGAGAGAAAGAGAGAGAGAGAGAGAAAGAAAGAGAGAGATAGAGAGAGAGAGAGAGAGAGAGAGAGAGAAGAGAGAGAGAGAGAGAGAGAGAGAGAGAGAGAGAGAGAGAGAGAGAGAGAGAGAGAGAGAGAGAGACAGAGAGACAAGACAGAGAGAGGAGGGAAGGAGGGGGAGCGGTAGATCGAAGATAAGAAAAGAAAGTCAAAAAGAAAACTCATCGGATAAAAAAAAAACAGAAAGAAAAGAAAGAGAGACTGACAAGCTTGCGGTTTCGTCGACGCTTAAAAGGACATAAAGTTGTTGTAAAATTTAATCTCGGAAGCCACCGCTAGATGGCTCTGTCAACCGATACCGTCTTCTACCACAAGGAGAAGAGGTATGGGGAAAGGGGGGGGGCGTGGAGACGAGGGATGGGTTGGGGGTGGAAGGTGGGGGTTAGAGGGTGAGGCAAGAGCAATAGAGGGGGAGGGGTTAGAAGATTGGAGGGTAGAGAGGTCGGGAAAAGAGGTGGGGTGAAGGGGAGGGGTTAGGTTAGGGGAGGGAAGGGGTGGCGGGGTTGAGGGTGGTTTAGAAGGCAGAAATAGGGAGAGGGTGGTGTTAGAAGGTAAGTAGGGGAGAAATGAAGGAAGGACGTAGGGTAGAATAAGGAGAGTATATACGGTGAAGAGGGAATGAGAGAAGGGTGGGATGACATAGAAAAAAGAGATGGGAGGAAGAGGGGGGGGGGGCAGGGGAGAGAAAAGACAAAGGAGGGAGCTGAGAGAGTCGAGGAAGGAGGAGGAGGGGGAGGGGAGGGCGCATGCAACAGGATCCCGAAGCCCTTGACACACTGCAATGATCTCGTGTCAAAGGTCATTTGTCATGCCAGCCTCTCCTGTGTTATTAAGTTATCTCCATATTTCTCTGAAACCTGCCAATAGCTTATCATTATTACTGTATTTCAGACAGAATTTTCAAATGTCTTGCCTTCCTTAAAATCTTTGAATGATTTTTCCTCTAATTCAGTCTTCTGAAACCCCAAAATAACTTACTGTTATTACCGAATTTCATCCACAATTTAGAAATGTCTTCTGAACGGTCCTAAATATGACTTTTTCTGTCTCCTTTTCTTAACGCATTTCTAAATACCTTTCCCAGGAAGATCGTTGGACAGCCTTCTTCTCCTTAGCCTTTCCCCCCCCCCTCTCTCCTCTCTCTCTCTCTCTCTTCTCTCTATCTTCTCTCCTCTCTCTCTCTATCTCTCTCTCTCTCTCTCTCTCTCTCTCTCTCTCTCTCTCTCTCTCATCTCTCTCTTTCTTCCTTCCCCTTTTCCCCCCTTCACGTCCTTCTCTTCGCTCCTTCCCTTTTCCCACTTCTTCCTTCTCCCTTTGCTGTCTTTCTCAGCTCTTCTCCTCCCCTCTCTTTGTATTTTATATTTCACCTTATCTTTTCTATTTTGCTTCTCTCACTTACCCTTTCCCCTTCTTCCTTTTAATGAACCTTATCTCTGCTCCCTCCTCTTTATTCTTTTCTCCACCTCAATCCCCTTTCTCCTTCCTCTTTCCCCTTTCCCTTTATCTATTTCTTCACTCGCCCCCTCCTTCCATCCCCACCTTTCCCATTTTTTTCTGTTCCCTCCTCCTTCCCATTTCCCTTTACCCAGTTCCTTTCTCCTCTCCTTCTCTCATCCCCAAACTTTCCCTTGCCCCTTCTTCTTCCATTTTCTATATTCCCTCCTCCTTTCTCTTTCCCTTTTCCCTTTACGCGCTTCCTCTTACTCCTTTTCTCTATTTTCCCTCCTCCTTCCTCCTTTCTCTTTCCACTTTCCCTTTACCCACTTCCTCGCCCCCTCCTCTTCCTCCTTTTCTCTATTCCCTCCTCCTTCCTCCTTTCTCTTTCCCCTTTCCTTTTACCCACTTCCTCGCCCCTTAATCTTCCTCCCTTTCTCTATTCCCTCCTCCTTCCTCCTTTCTCTTTCCCCTTTCCCTTCACCCACCTCCTCCCTCGTCCCCCTCTCCCATCCCCCCCTCGCCCCCTTCCCTCCTCCTTAGGCAGTGCAACTTCTTACACTTCTAAATCGCTTCTGTGAAGGCTCGTATGCACGCGCGTTTCCGCTTTTTTCGTGTCTGGCCAATATCTTTATCTCTCTTCTTCTGTAGTCTTCTTTTTTGTTAGCTTTGTTATTTTTTTTCTTTTCTGTCTATTTCTTCTTCCTCTTGTCTTCTTTTCATCTTCTCCTCCTCTTTTGTCATATTTTTTATTTGTCTTCTTATTCTTTATCTATCTCCTTCTTCGTCTTTAGTGTTCTTCTTTTGCCTTCTTTTTATTTTTTTTCCTCGACGTCTAGGAGGGCGAAAGCAAAGCCGATAGCGAGTTCGCTGTGTCTCCTTTCATATACTGTCTTTGGGAAACGTCGAAACGAGTTTTCTTGCAAATTGCAGAATCGGTAATGCAACGAAAAACCGAAGGAGGCATTTCATAATCTAATCTGATTCACAAAGGGACTTCATTAAGAAATATTCGTCTGGCGGACGAGGATTTCTTCTTGCATGCAGTCCGGGGCGGAAACCATGCGCCACTGGTGAAAGTGCTTCAAGGACGGGAAGAAGAAGGAGGAGGAGGAGGAGAAGAAGAAGAAGAAGAAAGAGGAGAAAGAAGAAGAGGAGGAGGAGGAAGGAGAGAGAGAGAAGAGAGAGCGAGAGAGGAGGGGGAGACTGGCAAATTGGGAAACGTAAACAGACAGGAAACTTAAACAGACGGGAAACGTAAATAGACGCAGAGAAAGACAAAGCCACCCAAGCCAACAAAGAAAGAAAAAGTCGTAAAAGTACCCTAAGAGAACGCTGACGAATTCCTCCTTCATAAAGACTCCGACTGCACACCCGCTTCCATCCCAGCGCGTAATTTTTGCCTCGAGAATTCTCCGTGTTACGCCTTAAGACGGCAGTGACGTCGATTTCACGTCAATGGGAAAAGGGAAAGGCTCTTTAACCTGTGCAAGGAGGAGCCGAGCGGTGTCATCCAGCCCTTCCACGGTGGAAAACTTTCTCTCTCGGACAGCTCGTGCCAGATGGATCCTGGGTATGCGACTGTGTGTGTGTGTGTGTTTTAATATACATTCGTATATATTTGTGCGTATTTGAGTGTGTGTGTGTGTGTGTGAGTGAGTGAGTGAGTGCGTGTTTAAATATACATTCGTATATATTTGTGTGTATATGAGAGAGAGTGAGTGAGTGAGTGAGTGTGTTGTGTGTGTGTGGTGTGATGTGTGTGCGTTTGTCTGTGTGTGGTGTATTAGAGAGAGAGAAGAGAGAGAGAGTCATACAGACAGACAAACAGAAAAATAAGAATACAAATACGCAATGCACATGTGTAAGGAGTGTGTTTGTGTGTCTGTCTGCAAGAGCGAAAAAGGGAAACTTTAAGCTTTCACTCCAACACTTTATTTCCCTCTGACTACATACCACATGAACTCACGCCCCGCAATTACCGCACATACGATATAACCCTCATACCACATAACTTCACAACATTACACGATAACCCACATTGCCACATGATAGCCCACATCAAAAAGTGCGGCTCGGCGTGTCGCCGGCGTCTCTCCGTATCACTAGAGATTATGCGCAAATTCCACTTCACCAACCTTTCATGCATCAATGCAGCTTAGCGCAGGGCTAGCCGTCCCAACTACCTGCCTTAAGCGCTGCAAACATCTTCAAGTGATGTTGTCCGTCCAGCGGTGCACCTAGAAAAAGCAACACTTGGCCGGGTCCTCCCTGACCCGGGCCAACAGGTCACCTCCGAGCCTATGACCCAGGTCCCACGGATTTAACTAGTTAGGTCCTACCATACTGCCGCGGGAAGTCGGAGAACTGGCGACCGCCCGGGCTCCACGCCCACACACACCGCCCATTGCGATCTCGGGACTGAGTGGGAAAGACACTTGTTATGTTCTGTGCTGTAGGGAGCTGGTTGTTAGGCCGGTAGAGCGCGTATGGTTGGAGAAAGACGATCGGCGTGGGAAATATAGAAAGCTAATATCCGTATTCCCATTCGAGCTTTTCGCGAAGAATATCGATTACAGAGTACCTTTTTTTCATTGTATGTGGATATTGGATAGATGAGAATTTCGCGGATGGAGAGGATTGAGTCTGAAGATGTGATGATTAAATCGAAGATTTGCGCGATGAGAGAGAATGAGCAGAGAAATAGATTACATTAGACTTTTGATCTTGATTTTTTGGAATGTTATGAACTGGTTTCTTTCATCTTCGGTCTGCTCTGTCTGTTTATACTTTGTGTCTCTTGAGTCTGCAAAGAATGCGAAGATAAGGGAGCTTGCTTCTAATTTCTCTTCTCTCAATTGACTTAGTCTCTTGCCGTCTCTGGTCTCTCTCCTTGCCCGAAGTACTTATCTGCTTTGAGCTCTTTCTCATTACGTCTGCCTCTACTCTCTCGGTCTCTCTCTCCTCCCTCTCTCTATCGTTCTCTCTCCTCTTCTACTTCTCATCTCTCTCTTCTCTCTCCTCTTCCTCTCTATCTAGTTCTAATTCTATTACCTCGCTATCTCTACATCTATCTCATAGCCCACTCTGTCTTCGTGTTCTTTGTTCTCGAGTTCTTTGCATCATTCTACTTTGTATTGTAGGGCAGGAGGAGTTGTAAATTGCGATTCCGGCGCTCTCTCTTCATAAAGATTCACCGTTCAAGTATACAGGTCTAGGTAAGGGTACAGGTAGAGAAGTGAGTAGATAGGCGGAAAATAACCAATTAATATGCTCTGCTACTCCTCAGAAAAGGACCATATGGCTCAAGGTCATCAGATCTCCAAATGAGGAATATGTCACGAGTGGCAGGGTGGAGGACATACACTTAGGTATCTTTTAATCTTCTCGATCCGGTTCTGCTCGTCTCGTCTGCACCAGCAATTTCGGCCTCGAGGCTCGTACCAGTCGATCCTCGGGTCTTTCGAGGCGCCATCACATGCGGTACCACACGGATACGTTGTCTTCTCAGGTTGCACTGAAAAGAGCATAGAGACAGAGAGTATGATAGATAGAATAAGATAGATATAGAAGAGAGTGCATACGAGAAAGGAAAGAAAAAGAGAAGAAACTTTAGAGAAAACATAATTCTCTGGCGTTTCATTAGCTCTGGCGCTCTCCTTGAATGGAGCGAGGTGAAGGACATGACAGCTTGCCTGGTAGATCTAGTACGTCTTATGAAACGCGAGTATCATACTATCATCAGTGCCATACATATGAGCAACAAGGAGCACTCTCACTGTGTTATCGGTATAATATGATATTTATCTGTGATTCGTATTCTATCTACGTGAAGAAGTATATTATATCTAGACAGTTATCTAGCTCAAGTGCTAATATTCTCTAATCTTCTATGTTATCCAATATTTCCTTGCTCTTGTCTCCATTGACAATCTCTTCTATATTTCGATCTGACTGAGTCTCTATGAGTTTATTTATTTGATCTTGTTCTTTGTTCTGATTTGACAAGGGAACTCTCCGGTACGGAGCTTGTTAATCGTTCTGCGCAAAACGTCTAGACTTTAGCCCTCCTCGATAATATCTTCATCTCTCTCTCTCTTCTCTCTCTTCATCTCTCTTCTACTTTTTTCATCTCTCATCTAGTCTTCTCGCTCTGTCTCCTCTCTAATCTCTACTCCGATATCATGCCTCTCCCTTTCGAGCCTCATCGCAGGAAGACCTCGACCTCAGGACAGGCGACGATCTCTTGGCCGTAGGGCTATCTCCATCGTTACGCTCTCTCCGTCATCTCTCTCTCTCAATTCTCAGTCTTCGTTCTCCTCTCTCTCTTCTCTTCTGGACTCCTTCTCTCTTCTCTCTCGTCTCTCTTCCTCTCATCTCTCCCTTTCCCTCATCCTTCTCTCCTCCTCGATTGCTAATTCCCTATCAGTAGTCGCCTAGTTCGATCTCCATCTCTCTCTCTTCTCTCTCTCTCTCTCCTCCTTTGCAATCTCTTCTCTCTCTCTCTCTCTCTTCTCTCCTCTCTCTCTCCTCTTCTCTCTTACTCTCTCTTCTCTCTTGAACAGCTTATTTGCCTTGACTAATGAGTACAGTGCCTTTCGTTACAATTCATATATTTATCAAGTTCCCTTTCTGCCTGCAAAATATCACCTGTGGACACGTTTCTGGCCAATTGGGGGGGGACCTCCAAAAAAGGGCCCACGAAAAAATGAACAGAATAGGAGGACATTCTGTCGTGAACGCTAGCTTCTTCAGGTCTCAGCAGCACAAGACCATAATACGTCTATATCTATTGATATTTGCTAGGAAGTCTTGGTTTTCTTTGCACTTCTTCATGACGTTATCGTCCGTTTTATAAATGGTGCTCATTCTTAACCAGATGTAAGCTGAGTTCCTCGGTTCGGCCTCATAAAACATTCACTTCCAATGTCATTTAGGGAATTTTGAGCTGCATCTGGACTTGTCTTAATATGTACTTCATCTAAGCATTGGCAAATATTCATATAATACTTTTAATTGCAAATCACATCACTTCGCCAGTAACGATTTTATCTAGGCAGTATGACCTTACCGCCAATTATTCCCAATGAAAGAATTCGTAGACCATGATTACTGTCTGCAAGTTAAGCTGTCTTGCGTCATGCAATTTGGATCTCAGACGCGACCGCATGGAGCTTGAGGCCGGAGCGACTCGATGAACTTTAAAGTTCGTTCCACAACAGTTCTAAAAGTGTCTTTATACTCAACATACTTTCTTCCAGTCGGGATAGTAGTACCAAAGCCTGCAATTGATTTGTCTTTTTCTTTTCCATAGCTTTAATGAGTCGAGGTTTTCACAGTCATGCGTCGAGTCTGTAAACAAAGGCCGACGCGGGTGCGTCGTTAATATTTGACCCGTGCGTTCTGGTGGAATCGCTACGGGCGTTTGATGTTTCTGAATGAGTTGATGGTGTTATAAGTGGCGTTCAAGACAATCTATCTACTACTTGAGTGTGATAGTGTCTTGGTTCCTTGGCAAAGTTTCCTTTGGTGCTCCTTAGAACCAGATCGTATGTGTGTCGTGTGCATATCTATAAATACGTGTCGTGGTTGTCAGTAGGCAGTGTACCACCTGTGTGTGTGTGTGTTGTGTGTGAAGTGTAGTGCTGTGTGTGTGTGTGTTTGCTGTGTGTGTATTTGTATATAGATATGTATATATCAACAATTTTCTCGAATTTCACTTGTTAAAATACACAACACACACACACCACACACACACACACCACACACACAACACACAACACACACACCACACACATATATAGGGATATATATATATAAATAATATATAGTATATACTTATATATTATATGTATATATTATATGCATATATAGTATATATAGTAGGATATATATATAGTAAGTAATGATAGTATATTATATTAGTTTATATATAGATATTATATCTATATATATAAATCGGTAGTCTCGCCAACGTCCTCTTCGGGGATATAGGAATTTGTGATAATTGAATCTGATCGATCGTGAAGGCATCGACCTAAGTAACGATTATTTTTTTAAACGTTTTCGAAATTAGCGAATATCCTCCACGCGTTTTTCTTAAATCACGGCACTTTTCATCTAAGTAGTAATCTGTTAATTATTTCCGTTACATACCCTTCCCTCAACATGCCTTTTTGTCATATATTGGTAAAAATGATGCTACTGGCAGGTCTGAACATCGGTAAACTCGACAGTATGTCAGGGAGAAAGGTCGGAATGAATTGTCACCAACTCTCTCTCTCTCTCTTCTCTCTCTCTATCTACTCTCTCTCTCGTCTCTCGTCTCTCCCTCTCTCTATCTCTCGTCGAGCTTCTCGTCTCTCTCTCGCTCTTCGTTTCCTCTCTCTCTCTCTCTCTCTTCTACTCTCCTCTCTCGTGTCTCTTCTCAATCTCTCTCTCTCTCTCTCTCTCTCTCTCGTACATCTCTCTCTCTCTCTCTCTCTGCGTATCGGTCTCCCTCAGCAACCCCACTCAGCTCTGCTACGTCACGCTATTGTCTCATCTCTCGTCTCTCTGAGACGCACCCCAGCGCCTTCACTACTTTCTCCTCCTTCCCTCCCCCATCCTCCACGTCTCTACTCTTCTCTTCCTCCCGTCTCCCGAAGCCCTCACTCTCTCTTCTCTCCGCTCCCTACCGACAGGGCACTCACGTTCCTGCTTCCTCTCCTCTCTCTCTCTCTCTGCGTCTCGCTCTCTCTCTCTCTCTCTCTCTCTCTCTCTCTCTCTCTCTCTTCTCTCTCTCTCGTCATCCCTCTCGTCACCGCCCGGACCTCACTCTTCTCTCTCTCCTTATCCCCCGTCCCTGGGACATCTTGCGTCCTTCTCTCCCTCCCTCCCACACGCGCTGCACTACTATTCTCTCTCTCCGTTACCCCCCGACCTTCACTTGCTCTCTCTCTCTCTCTCTCTCTTCTCTCTCTCTCTCTCTCTCTCTCTCTCTCTCTTCTCTCTCTGCTCTCTTTCTCTCATCTCTCTCTTCTCCCTCTCTCTGCTCTCTATGCTCTCTCTCTCTCTTCTCTCTACGTGCTCTCTCTACTCTCTCTCTCTGCTCATATCGATGCTCGTCCTCTCTCACTCCCTCCCCAAACCCGTGCTCTCTTGGTGTGAATAGTATGTTTCTCTCCTTCTCTCCCCCCATTCCTCACTCTTTCTCTCTCCCTCCCCATGCTCACTCATGCTCGTCTCCTAGCCTCCCCCACCCTCACTCTCTCTCTTCTCCCTCCCCCCACCTCCACTCTCATCTCTTCTCTCTCTCTCTCTCTCTTCTCTCTCTCTCTCTCTCTCTCTCTCTCTCTCTCTCTCTCTGCTCTCAGTGCGTCTCCCTCCCCCCACGCTCGACTGCGTCTCTCCAGTCCCTCGCGCACCTAGGATCCTCGAGGAGCTTCTCTCTCTCTCCTCTTTCCTCCCACCACCCCACTCTATCTCCTCTCTCCCTTCCCCCACCTTCAACTCACTCTCTCTCTCTCCTCTCTCTCTCTTCTCTCTCTCTCTTCTCTCTCTCTCTCTCTCTCTCTCTCTCTCCTCTCTCTCTGCTCTCTCAGGTCTTCTCTACCCCACCCTCACTCTTTCTCTCCCTCCCCTCCCCCATTCAGCTCACTCTTCTCTCTCTGCGTAGGCCACATCCAGGGAATACGGGGGGAGAGGCATGTAGGAGAATAGAGGCCCACCCTAACTACTATCGCTCTCTCTCTCTCTCCTCTCTCTTCTCTCTCTCTCTCACTCGTCTCTCTCTCTCTCTCTCTCTACATCCTGCATGCTCTCTCTCTCTTCTCTCTCTCCCTTTCTCTCTCTCTCTCCCTCCCCCACCCATTTCACTCTCTCTCTCTCCCTCCCCCTCCCCTCACTCTCTCTCGTCTCCCTCCCTCCCACGATCCCTTCACTTCTCTCTCTCTCTCCCTCCCACCCACCTTTCACTCTCTCTCTCACTCACTTCCACTCTCTCTCTCTCCCTCTCTCTCTCTGTCTTCTCTTTCTCTGCTCTCTCCTCTCTCCACTCTCTCGTCCTCTCTCCCTCTCTCTCTGCTCTCATCTCTTCTCTCTCGTCTCTCTCTCTGCTGTGCGTCTCACGTCTCTCATCTCTCTCTCGTCTCCCTCCAGGAGGCCCACCCTCTCTCTCTCTCTCTGCTCTGCCCTTTTTTTTTCTCTCTCTAACTCTACTCTCTAACTCTCTCTACTCTGCTCTGCTCATCTCTACTACTCTCTTCTCTCTCCTCTCTCCCGCAGCTCCCACTCTTTTCTCACGCGGCCGTCCCCCCCATCCTCTACCCCCTCCTCCCTCCGAGGTAAAAGTAGAAAGAGGAATAAGAGAGTGGAGGCCGGCACCCCTCACTCTCTCTCTCCCCCGATGGCCGCCCCACCTTCACTCTCTCTCTCTCTCCTTCTCGAGTCCTCTCTCTCGCTCTCTTCTCTCTCCTCTCTCTCTCTCTCTCTCTCTCTTCTCTTCTCGTGCATCTACAGCGCAGCCACCTCTCGTCTCTCGTCTCCTCTCTCTCTCAGTCTCTCTCGCTCTCTGCTTCTGCTGCATGGAGCGTGCGTCTTGCCTCATACTCGTACTACTCTCATCTCGGTCAGGTAACTAACGTCTCGTCTACTTCTCTTCTCTCGCGCGCACCGAGGCCTCAACTCTTTCTCCATCCACCTCTCCCCAAGATAGCGCAGTCATACAGGCTCTCTGCAGCATGCTCTCATCCGAGCTACACACCTACGCCTCACTCTACTTGCGTCATCCGGAGGCCTACCGTAGCCGT